ACAAAGAGTAATTCCTGCATCCACAAAAGCTTTAAGTTTGAAGCTGTTTCAAATATAACCTTGAATCGATTCCCTCGAATGATTCCCTCCTCGATCCGACATGCAGGTTGGAGTCGGAATCGTTGGAGGGGTGGGGGCGTTGGGGGCATAGTGGTGGGGGGGGGGTGAGTAGTGGGTGGTAGGGTGAGTAGTGGGTGGTAGGGTAAGTAGTGGGGGGGGGTGAAGTGGTGGGTGGCAGGGTGAGTAGTGGGGGGGGTAGAGTAGTGGGTGGTAGGGTGAGCAGTGGGTGGGGGAGGTGAGCAGTGGGTGGGGGAGGTGAGCAGTGGGTGGGGGGGTGAGTAGTGGGTGGGCGGGTGAGTAGTGGGGGGTGGAGTAGTGGGGGGGGTGAGTAGTGGGGGGGTGGAGTAGTGGGGGGGGGGGGTAGTGTGGGGGGTGAGTAGTGGGGGGGGTGAGTAGTGGGGGGGTGAGTAGTGTGGGGGGGTGAGTAGTGGGGGGGTGGGTAGTGGGGGGGTGAGTAGTGTGTGTGGGTGAGTAGTGGGGGGGGTGAGTAGTGGGGGGTGGGTAGTGGGGGGGTGAGTAGTGTGTGTGGGTGAGTAGTGGGGGGTGGGTAGTGGGGGGTGAGTAGTGTGTGTGGGTGAGTAGTGGGGGGGTGAGTAGTGTGGGGGGTGAGTAGTGGGTGGGGGGGTGAGTAGTGGGTGGGGGGGTGAGTAGTGGGTGGGGGGGTGAGTAGTGGGTGGGTAGTGTGGGGGGGTGAGTAGTGTGGGGGGGGTGAGTAGTGGGGGGTGGGTAGTGGGGGGGTGAGTAGTGTGTGTGGGTGAGTAGTGGGGGGGTGAGTAGTGTGGGGGGGGTGAGTAGTGTGGGGGGGTGAGTAGTGGGGGGTGGGTAGTGGGGGGGTGAGTAGTGTGTGTGGGTGAGTAGTAGTAGTGTGTGTGGGTGAGTAGTGGGGGGTGGGTAGTGGGGGGGTGAGTAGTGTGTGTGGGTGAGTAGTGGGGGGGTGAGTAGTGTGGGGGGGTGAGTAGTGGGGGGGGGGGTGAGGAGTGGGTGGGGGGGGTGAGTAGTGGGTGGGTAGTGTGGGGGGGTGAGTAGTGTGGGGGGGGGGTGAGTAGTGGGGGGGTGAGTAGTGTGTGTGGGTGAGTAGTAGTAGTGTGTGTGGGTGAGTAGTGGGGGGTGGGTAGTGGGGGGGTGAGTAGTGTGTGTGGGTGAGTAGTGGGGGGGGTGAGTAGTGTGGGGGGGTGAGTAGTGGGTGGGGGGGTGAGTAGTGGGTGGGGGGGGTGAGTAGTGGGTGGGTAGTGTGGGGGGGTGAGTAGTGTGGGTGGGGGTGAGTAGTGGGGGGGTGAGTAGTGTGTGTGGGTGAGTAGTGTGTGTGGGTGAGTAGTAGTAGTAGTGTGTGGGGGAGGGGGGCGTGGCAACCGACGTCACATCCTGCCGTGACGTCACCGCGGCGCGCGTGGTGGTAGTGGTGGGGGGCGGTGTGTGTGGAAGAAGACGACAACGACGCAAAATGGCGGCCGCTCCGACCACCTCATCGATGGCGGCCGCGCTCGGCACCCCGACTCCGACGCCCGCGGCAAACTCCACAACGCCGTCGGCCGCGGGCACACCGGGGGGTACGATGGCGGCGGCTTCTTGTGGGGCGGCGGCGGCGGCGGCTCAACAGCAGCAGCAACAGCAGCAGCGGGGAGTTCTGATAGGCGAGCGTCTCTACTCGGGCGTGCGAATCTCTCTGGAGAACTGCGTGATGCCCGCCGAGCGCCTCGCGCACACGCCGTCCTCGTACGACCGCCTCGAGGCCGCCGTGGAGACGGAGCTGCGCGAACTCGGCTGCGAGCTCGTCCAGGCCGCGGGCATCCTGCTGCGTCTACCGCAGGTGATGAGTTGTGGTGGTTGGTGGTTGTTGTGGTGGTTGGTGGTGGTTGTGGTGGTTGGTGGTTGGTGGTGGTGGTTGGTGTGAGGGGAGTTGTGGTGGTGGTGTGGGGGGGTTGGTGGTGTGGGGGGGGTTGAGGTGGTGGTGTGGGGGGGTTGTGGTGGTGTGGGGGGAGTTGTGGGGTGGGGGGTTGAGGTGGTGGTGGGGGGGGTTGAGGTGGTGGGGGGGGTTGAGGTGGTGGTGTGGGGGGTTGAGGTGGTGTGGGGGGAGTTGTGGGGTGGGGGGGGTTGAGGTGGTGGTGTGGGGGGTTGAGGTGGTGTGGGGGGAGTTGTGGGGTGGGGGGGGTTGAGGTGGTGGTGTGGGGGGTTGAGGTGGTGTGGGGGGAGTTGTGGGGTGGGGGGGGTTGAGGTGGTGGTGTGGGGGGTTGAGGTGGTGTGGGGGGAGTTGTGGGGTGGGGGGGGTTGAGGTGGTGGTGTGGGGGGTTGAGGTGGTGTGGGGGGAGTTGTGGGGTGGGGGGGTTGAGGTGGTGGTGTGGGGGGGTTGAGGTGGGGGGGTTGAGGTGGTGGTGTGGGGGGGTTGAGGTGGTGGTGTGGGGGGGTTGAGGTGGGGTGGGGGGGGGGTTGAGGTGGTGGGGGGGGTTGAGGTGGTGGTGTGGGGGGGTTGTGGTGGTGGTGTGGGGGGTGTTGAGTGGTGGGTGGAGGGGGGTGAGTTGTACAAAAGGTTGAATCTGGACTCACCACTACTACCACTCACTACCACTACCACCAATCACTACCACTCACTACCACTACTACTACCACTCACTACCACTACTACTACCACTACTACCACCACTCACTACTACTACCACTACTACCACTCACTACCACTACTACTACCACTACTACTACCACTCACTACTACTACCACTACTACCACTCACTACCACTACTACTACCACTCACTACCACTACTACTACCACTACTACCACCACTCACTACTACTACCACTACTACCACTCACTACCACTACTACTACCACTACTACTACCACTCACTACTACTACCACTACTACCACTCACTACCACCACTCACTACTACTACCACTACTACTACCACTCACTACCACTACTACTACTACCACTCACTACCACTACTACCACTTCTACTACTACTACCACCACTAACACTCACTACCACTCACTACTACTACCACTCACTACCACTACTACCAATCACTACCACTACTACCACTACTACCAATCACTACCACTCACTACCACTACTACTACCACTACTACTACCACTCACTACCACTACTACCAATCACTACCACTACTACTACCACTGCTACCACTTTTACTACCACTACTACTACCACTCACTACCACTACTACCAATCACTACTACTACCACTACTACCGATCACTACCACTACTACCACTACTACTACCACTACCACCAATCACTTCCACTACCACCAATCACTACTACCAATCACTACCACTACTTCTACTACCACCACTACTAATCACTTCCACTACTACCAATCACTGCCAGTTATGTACTACCAATCACTATCACCACTACTATCACTACCACCACTCACTACCGCCACTATCACTACCACCATCATCACTACCACTGCCATCAGCACTCCCACCATCACCACTACCACCATCAACACTACTACCAATCACTATCACCACCACTATCACTTCCGCCACTATCACTACCGCCATCATCACTACCACTGTCATCAGCACTACCACCACTATCACTGCCACCATCACCGCCGTCATCACTAATACCACCATCACCACTACCAACCACCATCACCACTACCACCATCACTACCATCACCACTACCACCATCACTACCATCACCACTACCATCACCACTACCACCATCACCACCACCATCACCACTACCACCACCATCACCACTACCACCACTACCACATCACCACCACCATCACCACCATCACCACTACCACCACTACCACATCACCACCACCATCACCACTATCACCACTACCACTACTACCACATCACCATCACCACTACCACCATCACCACCACCATCACCACTACCACATCACCACTACCACATCACCACTACCACATCACCACCACCATCACCACTCCCATCACCACTGCCACCATCACTACCATCACCACTACCACCATCACCACCATCACCACTACCACATCACCACCACCATCACTACCACCATCACTACCACCATCACCACCACCATCACCACCACCATCACCACCACCATCACCACCATCACCACTACCACCATCACCACTTCCACTACCACATCACCACCACCACCATCACCACTACCACATCACCACTATCACCATCACCACTATCACCATCACCACTACCACCACTACCACCACCACCATCACCACTACCATCACCACTACCACCATCACCACCACCATCACCACTACCATCACCACCACTACCACATCACCATCACCACTCCCATCACCACTGCCACCATCACTACCATCACCACTACCACCATCACTACCATCACCACTACCACCATCACCACCATCACCACTACCACCATCACCACTACCACAACCACCACTACCACCATCACCATCACCACTACCACCATCACCACTACCACCATCACCACCATCACCACTACCACCACCATCACCACTACCACCACTACCACATCACCACCATCACCACCATCACCACTACCACCACCATCACCACTACCACCGCTACCACACCACCACCATCACCACCATCACCACCACTACCACCACTACCACATCACCATCACCACCATCACCATCACCACCATCACCACCACCATCACCACCACCACCATCACCACTACCACCACCATCACCACTACCACCACTACCACATCACCATCACCACTACCACCGCTACCACATCACCACCACCATCACCACTACCACCACTACCACCACCATCACCACTACCACCACCATCACCACCATCACCACTACCACATCACCACCACCATCACCACTACCACCACCACTACCACCACCATCACCACTATCACCACCACTACCACCGCTACCACCACCATCACCACTACCACCGCTACCACATCATCACCACCATCACCACTACCACCACCATCACCACTACCACCACCATCACCACTACCACCACCATCACCACTATCACCACTACCACCGCTACCACATCACCACCACCACCACCATCACCACCACCACTACCACCACCATCACCACTACCACCACTACCACCACTACCACATCACCACCACTACCACCACCATCACCACCATCACCACCACTACCACCACTACCACATCACCATCACCACCATCACCACCACCACCATCACCACTACCACCACCATCACCACTACCACATCACCATCACCACTACCACATCACCATCACCACTACCACCGCTACCACATCACCACCACCATCACCACTACCACCACTACCACCACCATCACCACTACCACCACCATCACCACCATCACCACTACCACCGCTACCACATCACCACCACCATCACCACTACCACCACTACCACCACCACTACCACCACCATCACCACTATCACCACCACTACCACCGCTACCACCACCATCACCACTACCACCGCTACCACATCATCACCACCATCACCACTACCACTACCACCACCATCACCACTACCACCACCATCACCACCACTATCACCACTACCACCGCTACCACATCACCACCACCATCACTACCATCACCATCACCACCACCACTACCACCACCATCACCACTACCACCACTACCACCACTACCACATCACCACCACTACCACCACCATCACCACTACCACCACCATCACCACTACCACATCACCACCACTACCACCACTACCACCACCATCACCACTACCACCACTACCACCATCACCACCACCATCACCACCACCACCATCGCCGCCCACCATCAGCACGAGACACGCAGAGAGGTTGGTCACGGGGGGCGGGGAGGGGGTGGGGGGGATGATGGGTGGCGAGTTTGGTGACTCAGACCGCGAGTGCGAGATGCGAGATGGCGACGTTCCGGGCGACCTCCTTCCATGGTGGGGGGAGTGATTGGGGGGAGTGGGTAGGGGGAGTTGGTGGGTGGGTGGTGTGGGGGGGGGGGTGTGGCGAGTTTGGTGACTCAGACCGCGATCGCGAGATGGCGACGTTCCGGGCGACCTCCTTCCATGTTGCGGGGGGGCTAAGAAGAGGAGACACCGGATCATCCAGCAGTGGATAGACCTTGGCCGATGGTGGGTCCAGGTTCCCCATAGCGAGCGTGATTCTGGGCTGCCGCGGTGGCTAAGGAGATGTTGACTACCTCGCCTGGTACGCAGGAGGTCGTGGGTTTGATCCCGACCCCTGATGAGATGTTGACTAACCTCGCCTGGTATGCAGGAGGTCGTGGGTTTGATCCCGACCCCTGATGAGATGTTGACTAACCTCGCCTGGTATGCAGGAGGCCGTGGGTTCGATCCCGACCCCTGATGAGATGTTAACTAACCTCGCCTGGTACGCAGGAGGTCGTGGGTTTGATCCCGACCCCTGATGAGATGTTAACTAACCTCGCCTGGTACGCAGGAGGTCGTGGGTTTGATCCCGACCCCGGATGAGATGTTGACTACCTCGCCTGGTATGCAGGAGGTCGTGGGTTTGATCCCGACCCCTGATGAGATGTTAACTAACCTCGCCTGGTATACAGGAGGTCGTGGGTTTGATCCCGACCCCTGATGAGATGTTAACTAACCTCGCCTGGTACGCAGGAGGTCGTGGGTTTGATCCCGACCCCGGATGAGATGTTGACTACCTCGCCTGGTATGCAGGAGGTCGTGGGTTTGATCCCGACCCCTGATGAGATGTTAACTAACCTCGCCTGGTATACAGGAGGTCGTGGGTTCGATCCCGACCCCTGATGAGATGTTGACTACCTCGCCTGGTATACAGGAGGTCGTGGGTTCGATCCCG